CGAAAGTGAGCTCCAAAGGCATTTTAAAGCCATTGGAGCCCACCACTGGCCCATGGCCCTACCTGAGTGAGCTACGAAGGCAACCTCCAGGTTGGACCACCCGACTGTAAGTGAGCCCCAAAGGCATTTAAATGCCTTTTGAGCCCACCTCTAGGTCAGGTCGGCCCAATTGAGCTCCCAGAGTCTCATATGTCTCTATATGGATGGGCCCCATCCAGAAGTGGGCTCCGAAGGGCTATAAAAGCCTTCAGAGCTCACTTTGGTGTAGTGCCAGTTTGGTGTAGTGGTTAAGTGCGCAGACTCTAATCTGGGAGAACTGGGTTTGATTCCCTACTCCTCCAGTTGCTCCTGGCTGGATGACCTTGGGCAAGCCATGGTTCAGATAAGAGCTGTCCTTGAAAAGCATGTCAAGTGCTCTCTCAGCCCCACCTACCTCACAGGGTGTCTATTGTGGGGAGGGGAAGGGAAAGGAGTTTGTAAGCCGCTCTGAGACTCCTTTGGGTAGTGAAGGGCAGGGTATAAATCCAATCTCTTCTTCTTCTTCAATTGGGCTGAGCCACCCAACTCGACTGAGCTCCAAGACTGAGCTCCGAAGGGTTTTAAACCTTACTTTCAGAGCACAGTCGGGCCAGCCCAATCCAGAAGTGGGCTTCAAAGGCATCATTCAGGTCGGAGTGGTGGGCACAGACAGCATTTAAATGCCTTTGGAGCTCACTTCCGATCAGGCAGCCAAACCCATTTCAATGCCTTCAGAGCTAACTTCTGCGTGGGGAGCCCCACAAACTTCCAAAGCACAAACCGGTTCATGCCCTGGAGAAGTTTGTGGACATTTGTGGTTCATGAAAACCCCTGAAGCACAGTCCTCCATGAACCTCCATTCTTCCAGTTCATGCCCATCCCTAACAGTGACCCAAAGGGGTGGGGGGATCAGGGTATAAGATGCTGACACCAACCTCATAGATGCACGTGGCTACAATGTCTCAAGTCACTGTGTTGGTCAACATAGGTGCAGGACATCCTGCGCAAAGTTAACAGGGCTCTCTGTCCTGCTGGACAGTCAGTTGCAATCCCATTATAGACATTTAGTACAATGTTTTAGGCCAGTGGCATTATACTAACAAAGCTGGATCTTTGGTGCAAAAAGAACTCTTACAATGGAGTCTAGGTGAATCATGTTCAGTCTTAATCTTGTCAGTTTGGTGTAATGGTTAAGTGCACGGACTCTAATCTGGGAGAACCAGGTTTGAGTCCCCACTCCTCCACTTGCACCTGGCTGGATGACCTTGGGCAAGCCATAGTTCTGGCACAGCTGTTGAAAAAAGAGTAGTCTCTGTCAGAGTTCTCTCAGCCCCACCTACCTCACAGGGTGTCTGTTGTGGGGAGGGGAAGGGAAAGGAGTTTGTAAACCGCTCTGAGACTCCCTTGGGTAGTGAAGGGTGGGGTATAAATCCAATCTCCTCTTCTTCTTTCTTAGCTGTGTGTCTGATTCCATTGCCATATTTATTAATGATGATGGCTGCTGTTGCATTAATATTGACAGAAACAGACCTGTAATCAAGGGAAGGTCAGTGGCCCAAAATGCAGGTCTGATTGTGTACCATCCCATGTGAAACCAAAGATACGGCTGAGGTATCCAGCAGGTCTACCTTGCAAAGGTTTGAAGCAGACATCATCAGAATTCTCCTCAGGTTATGAACCTTCGTTCAGTATATGTTTTAGGTTTGTGCATACAACCTGCAAGGCTTTTTTCATAGTTTCAGAACATAAAATAAGACTGTGGAGTCCAAGGATACCTTCATACTTACCCTCATTATGGATGGACATAAGGGGATTTGTTACAGAGGGGAAAAAATCTGTTGAACTCTTTCAGAATCTTGCCCTAAAATGCATAGTGTGATTGTGTGGGGGGATGGAGCTTAGATATTTACTATCAGACAGAGTTTATTTAAAGGACTCTGGTTGATCACACTGACCCAGTAATATTCCACATACAACACTTAGAATCTTGTAGGAATTAGGTTTCTTTTATTATTATTTTCCTTTTATTTTTTAAACAGGTAATACCATCAGTAAAGAAGCTTGCAGTGCAGAGTGGTTGTAAATGCTCTCCAGCTGAGATTTTGAGAATGGAAAGAATTGTACTTGATAAACTTCACTGGGATCTTTACACAGCAACATCAGTGGATTTTTTAAACATTGTAAGGACACAAAACATTTTCCCCCCAAAAGATAAATTAGATTTTATTCTGTACCAAATAAGACTAGAAAACAGCAGTGGTGCACAGTGTACATTCCCCTCTGGTTAGCCTCACAGGTCGAGTTGCCACCCTCGGGGGGGGGGGGCTGGGATCTGGAGAAAATGGCTGCTTTGGAAGGTGGACAGCCTGGCATTATACCCTACTGAGGTCCCTCCCCTCCCTAAACCCTGCCCTCCCAAGCTCCACCTTCAAATCAACAGGTATTTCTGAACCCTGAGTTGGCAACTCTACTCGCAGGCATAACATTTTTGGATATCGGCAAGTCTTGTGCGGAATATTACTGTGAAGATATTGAACTTCCTTTTGAACAGCCCACTATTCCAAATCCTGAAGCCTGGTTTACAGATGATACAGACTCGCATTTTTGAAAGGACAACTAAAGATTGACTTTGAAAAAGATTCTCATACCATATCACTATAGACCATTTTTTCTTTAAATACACACTGAAAAAATATTTCTAACTACCTGCACTCTGTAATACTGTACATAAAAAGCTTTCAGGTTTTTTTTGCTACATTTCACAAATAGATTATCTTGAATCTTTCTTTTCCTCTCCCTGCACTAAAAACACTCGACCCTCATTTTAAGGTAAATTAGATCATTCTGATCTGGCACTTAAATCGCATCTTATTTGCTGAACGTTCATAGAAAGAATGAAAGCTTCCTTTTAAGAAGTTACTGTGTGCTATAGTAAGGCAAAAATCATGTGCTATGACAGTGTCTCAGCTCTTCTCTTTATGGCAAACAGTAGAGACATGTTCCATCCTGGTATGAGGATTGTTTTGAGGAAATATCCCATCACAACCAGGATGAAGCGATTGTGAAATCGGCTTCAAGCATCATCAGTGATTTCTTTTCTTTTTCTCTGTTACCTCTAGTGGCTGGCTTGAACATTGCTATTTTTTAATCATACAAATGGGACGTCAAACTCTCTGAATTGACAATTGCAACAACGCAATGAATTCAGAATTAGTTACATTCAGTATAAGCTTAAACATTTCAATATTTGGCAACTACGACACAAAAACGGTAACAGTAGAACAAAATGATAATAAACTTTTGAGAGATTTCCTGCCATGAATAATTAGTTTGCACTTCTGGTCAATGACATATGAAAACGTACAAAGTTCACTGTTGACCTCTGCTCTTTTTTTTAATATCCGTGAACATGTGGTGTGTATTTATATATCTATATATATAGGTGTAATATCTTTATATATTTATTAGTGTTTATCTTCTCTCCAGTTCCATGCCATGGTGATATCCAAGTGGGCCCATCTGCTACATGGGCTGCCTCAGAGGAATCCTTCACGCCATGCCGCATTCTTGACCAAACAGCTGCAGCACTGTATGGCATGCCACCAACTGCTGCAGTTTAAGGGCTCCACATTGGCTTTGGTGATCATCACCTTAGAGTTGGAGAGGATGACTCCTGATTGGTTTCCTGTGATAACAGATCTGCTAAAAAAAGCACAGGTAGGAGTCAACATGGCCTTGGCAGAACAAATCTGAGGCCAATACAAAGATTTTTTATTTTTTAAAAGAAACCTCATGAATATTTATAAACCGACGTTGCACGTTTTTAATGTACTTCTCAGGAGTGCTTGTATGTTTGTTAGAATGCATTTTTTTTTTACAGGATGCAAAATTCTGTTAGTTGTAATGGAAGTTAATGCCTTGATGGAGGACCGTCATTTAGAGACCACTATTAATTTATGTGATGCATGGCACCATGCCTGATTTAGGTCGCACTTTCAAGGTAGTCCAGCATGTACTGTTTTCCCAAAATTGGAACTCACCACAAAATGGGCTGTTGAGAACTTGTTAAACCGCATCCTTTAGAATGTCAACATTGTTTTATTTTTTAAATCTCACCTGGCGTCTCTCATTGTGTGGCTACCTCCAGTCCACCAAGCCAAGGGCTAAATGAAAACCTAGGGAAGTCAAGGATCATTAGATGCAATACTCCTATCAATGCAGTTTCCTTGAAGCTGAATACATAAAGTGGGGTGGTCACGTCAGCTGTGCTAAGTATTCTGGAGGTCAGCACAGAAGCACCATGTAGGTATGGGTGGGAAATGTTAAGATAACACAGAACTGTAATAACACCTTTTCTTACTCTACACCTGTGCTACTATATCAACTTTTAGGAGTCAAACCCAGTGCTCTCTGGTTCTTATGCTATGCCGACTTTTCCCTCTCCTGTTACAGTAGCACTTGGAGGACCTTCTGTGTTAGAGAAAACTCAGCAACTTTACAGGAGTTATTATGTATCTCCAGTGGCAGCTTACATAACACTGGGTACTGTGTTAAAGTACCATATTTTGTAGGCATCACAGAATGTGCAGAGATTCCCCATGCAATAAGTATGCAATGAGTACTGGCTACATAATGCATATTACTGGAGTAGACTTTGACTTAATTAGTTTCATATAGCTGTATTCCCACAGCAACTAAAAGGCTGTGCCTTTACATGTTTGTATATCAGTTAAAGAACACTGATAGTGGCAAATACTTCCGCAAATTAGTGGAAAATGGCTCTGTTATGTGTTGCATTGCAGATTGACAGCACTCAGTTCATCCACTGTAAAGAGCTTGTTGACCAGCATCTCATGTCTTTCCAACCATCCAACACTGTCTATATTTTCAACCCTGCAAGCCAAAACATTCAGACCCACCTGGAGGAAAGGCTACCCTGCTGTTATTCCATGTTGAAGAAAGCAGTGCAAATTAACCTACAAGCCAGAGGGAGCCAGGCAGTCCCAGCAGTTTTCACACCTCTCCAAGCCAGCACTTATGAAGATGATATGGAGACAGATGAATTCTATGATGGATTCAATTACTTGTACAATGAAGTTGGGACACCAGAAGGTGGACAAGGCCGCAATGACCAACTGAGACAAAAAGGAAGTAGCAGTTTCTGTCCCCCATTAGAGCCTGCCCCTGAGATTGACTAGTGTGTGTGTGTGTGTGGGGGGGGGTTGCTCTGTTGTAGCAAGGAACCAGCCAGTACCCAAAGCTATTTCTAGTATATCAAAGGACAATAAGCTGTAAATAGAAAGCACTGCCCATTTTGGAGTCCCAACTCTCCACCTTTTTAATCGCTCCCCACAAAACTACACTTTGGCAGTAGGTTGTTTTGATGTAATCGAAATATAAAGCTCACAAAGTAATCTATGCAATGAGCAGCTGAAGGAGAACATCTCAGGGATCAGCAATCAGCAGCTTGGACTATATTCTGCACTTAGAAATACAAATGGGGCCTAACTCCAGGGGGTGAGGGAGAGCTTTCTAAAGTTTTGCCTTTCAGAGTTTGCCTTTATTTGGATACTATCTCTACTCTCCTGCAGAAGTTAAGTTCCGTGTCACTGTTCCTCAGTAAGCTATGGATGAGTGTGAAAGGTTACATGTACAGGCAAGTAGGGCTAGTGATGCAGGACCAGGTTCCTGCAGATATGGTTCGCTGGAACCCTAGCCCTGATATTTAAGGCCCAGTTTGTATATTGATCAGGAAGCAATCAGATGGATAAAGTGAATGAAGCAGGCATTAAAGCTAGTAAAAATTGTGCCATAAAGAGCACCGATCTTTAGTGAATAATGTTACATATTTGCTGGCTGGTGACTCCAAAAGTTGAGGGCAGTGGGAGTGTTCAGCAACTTCAGAATAGAATCCATGGCCTTTGGAACTAGCCCTAACGCATTAGCACTTTTTCTTCACACCTCATCTCTGGGTTGTTCACCAAATGAGGTACATACAATTGGAATGGTCAGATCAACCATTTCTGGTGCTCTTTGAAAGAAGGACTGAGGACTGTCTGAAATGTCAGTCAAATGTTACTTTAAAAAAGCAACAACAATTGCAGCCTTTTAAATTGATTTATATATATATTAATTGAGAAACGCAATTGTGGGCCTTCAAGTGCACAAAACTTGCAAAAAGCTATTTTTTAAAATATTATTCACAAGAAACAATTTATATAGCTGCTTAATGGTATGGCCAGCCTTCTTTAGCATCTTAAGTTAATAGGGCAGTGCATGTGTAAAACCATATTTTTTAAAAAATGTGTAAAACGGTGCTAAAATATATTAAGGTGAACATATCCAAAGACTGCATGGTACCCACAGTGAACTTTATTACATGTTTATACATTACTGTAAATGCCAAAAGGCAAAGTTTGCTGTGGGGTTCAAGAACTGATTTGAATGCATACCCCCGAACCTGTGGGTGCCATGGTGCCCACCAGCACCTTTTCTGGCACTCACCAAGTGCTTCCAGGAAGTGGATGGGACCAAGTAGGGCTTTTACCCAGCAAGGATTCCAATTGGCTGTGCAGATTTTTTTTTATTCTCAAGCACTTTTTTCTCTGCTTGCTGGTTATCTGGATAGGCTCAGACACATCCATAGCCATGTTGGAATGCATCAGGGAATTGGAAACAGAAGTGTGAAATCAATTGAAAAAACTGTGAAGTCTGTGCTTAGCGCTAAGAAAAGAAAAGACTGAACAAGAAGGGTCTTGCCAGCACAGTGGCTGATAAACTAAATAAGCTAGGATTCCAACATTTTGAAATCATAGTATATTAGACTACAGACTTTTTATAATGCTTTCCACATGTCTGAAGGTCTCATTTTAAAGGAAATACTTGGAACAATATTGGCTGTTTATGCAGCAAAAGGACACTTTTGTTTATAGGATCAAAAACATCAACTGTTTCTTTGTCAAGCTGTGATTTGACTGTACTTTTTATGCAGGTAAGGTTTTTTCTTTCGTAAATGAGGGGGGAATTTTTTTGTAATGATTGTTAATTAAAAACTGAATTGAACTGCTTTTGACTTTTTTCTTTAAAGGTATGCCTTAACACTGACAGCAATCACCACACTTTTGGTACAGACAGAGAAAAATACTTTCAGTGATGTAGCGATGGCCACTACTTTAAAAAGTGGATTATACAAACTCGTGGAGTGCAGGTCTAGCGCTGGTTATTAACCATATTTACTGAAAGGATTCAGCATTTTCAGAGGTAGTATACTATTAAATATTAGTTACTGGAAAAGGATGGGAATGTGAAGAGCTCCAAGAGAATCTTTTGAAACTGGATAAGGGGGTTCAAAGGAAATGTGAGGCACACTGGAGCAAAAACTCTTTCACTTCACCACCAGTGTGGTGTAGTTATGGTCAGGGCTCTTTTTGTAGAAAAAGCCCAGCAGGAACTCATTAGCATAATAGGCCACACCCAATAGCAGAAATGCATTAGCATATTAGGCCACACCCTGACAGCTCAGCTCATTAGCACATTAGGCCGCACCCCCATGCTACCAGAAGTGTGGTTATCCAGCCACACCCACCTTTTGCTTGTTATTCTGTTTACCTTGTCTGTTGTCAAAACCCGGGGCTTTTTTGTAGCAGGAACTCCTTTGCATGTTAGGCCACACACCCCTAATGTAGCCAATCCTAATGAGTTCCTGCTGTTGGGTGTGGCCTATTATACTAATGAGTTCCTGCTGGGCGTAGCCAACTTGGGAGCCAGCTAGAACTCCGTTCCTGTGCGTTCCTGCCCCAAAATAGCCCTGGCTTATGGTTGACATGTTAGAACAGGATCCTGATGACCCATGTTCTAGCCCACTCTACCATGAAAACTTGCTGGGTGATCTTGGGCCAGCTACACGCCCTCTGCCTAACCTACCTCACAGCGTTGTAAAGGTAACATGGGGAAGAGAACAATGCAGGCGATATCGGGTCCCCATTGGGGAGAAAGGCAGGGTATAAAAGAAGTAAATGCACTCTATATCCTGATGAAGTCGGAACTGATGGCAACTGAGAAGGAAATATCCTGTGAGTTTTAGTTGACATCTTGTTGACTCAGTGTGCAGCAGCTGTGAAAAAAAAAGGCAAACTGAGTTGTTAGGAAAGAAGACTGAAAATCGAATGGCCAATATTGTAATGCCCCTATGGTGCAGCCCCATTTGGAATCCTGCATACAGTTCTGGTCGTCCTGTCTCAAAAATATATTGCAGAGCTGGAACAGATGCAAAAGGGGCCACCCAAGATCGGGGGGAAGCACCTTTCCTATAAGTGAAGGCTAAAGAGCCCAGGACTTTTTGGTTTAGAGAAAAAAAATAAGGAGGCACATGGTATGGCATGGGGTGGGGAAAGTGGAGAGAAAAGGCTTTGCTCTCCCTCTCCCAGAACTCAGGGCACCCAATGAAACTGGTGGTAAATAGATTCAGTTATGAAATTCACTGTCCATGGGTGTAATGATGGCCAGTAACAAAGATAGTTTTAAAATGGGATTAAACGGATTCATGGTGGACAGGTCCCTCCATTGCTATCAGTCATGGTGACTAAAAGGAGCCTCCACATCCAGAGGCAGCAAACATTTGAATACCAGCGTTGGGAGGCAGCTGGGGGGATTGGTTGTGCATGGCTTGGCCACTATGCCATGTTTGTTGGTACTGTAGAGCAACTGGTTCCCTGGGTGAGCCCTTATGCCGAACCAGAGGTCTGATGCAACGAGACATCTCTTGTGTTCTTCTGGGGGCAACAGCACGGGAGGTGTATCCCCTTCACATCCTGCTGGTGGACTTCACAAAAGCATCTCGTTGGCCTCTTTAGAAAACAAGACTGTGAAATACAGTGGACTTCTGGTTTGACCAAGCAGCACTGTTATGCTCTTCTTGCTGATTTGGCAAACCCGGAGTCAGTCAGTGGCCTGCATCCTTGGCACTCCACTAAGCAAAGTCTAACGCATTTCTACATCTTCAGGCAACCTTCATTTGGGGGGAGGAGACCAAGTTGGAAGAAGCATCCTTAGCACAGAGAAAATTGCCATAGCCTAAGGTTGGACACAGCCTACTTTATAGTTTAGAACAGTGGAGATCATAAACTCTTTCCATATTTTGTTCAAATAATTGTTTTTATTTACAGTTCACTAATTTGCAAAGAGAACCCAGATTACAAAAATTGCTCAAACCCTTATAACCATCCCTACACAGAAAAGCTCTCCTTACGCCACAAGTTTCATTCCTACATCAAAACTTTTCCCCTCCAGATTTCAATGAGCTGAGAAACTAAAGGTAAAAAACTGAATGCAGACAATTACTTTGCTGCTTCAGTGTGTCTATTTCTGGTTTTCATTCTCTCAGATGTTTTCTGAATTTTAAAAGGGGCAATATCTATGTATCTAGGTTACACAAACCTAACATGCATGACTTTTTAGAGAGAAAGTAGGAAACATGTTAAGACATTCCCTCTACAATGCCTTCTGCCTCCCCCCCCCCATTTAGTTGTCCTTTAAAAATGGTTTCATGCAGGGCTATTTTTGGGCAGGAACGCACAGGAACGGAGTTCTGGCTGGCTCCTTAGTTGGCCACACCCAGCAGGAACTCATTAGCATAACAGGCCACACACCCAACAGCAGAAACTCATTAGGATTGGCTACAGTAGGCATGTGTGGTCTAACATGCAAAGGAGTCCCTGCTACAAAAAAAAGGCCCTGGGTTTTGACAACAAACAAGGTAAACAGAATAAGAAGCAAAAGGTGGGTGTGGCTGGATGAGCACACTTCTGGCAATAGGGGGCTGCGACCCAATATGCTAATGAGATGTGGTGTCAGGGTGTGGCCTATTATGCTAATGAGTTCCTGCTGGGCTTTTTCTACAAAAAAAGCCCTGGTTTCATGATCAGGTCCAGTGTTTTGTTTTCAGAGGGTAAAGCATTTGGGAGGCAACACAGCCATCACTCACAACAAGAAACAAATGAAGACGCAGAAATAAGGAAGAGGAAGAAACCGGACCAAAAAAGGAACCCAGTTCAAGTTAGGCACCATTTTATTATGAGGAAACATGAGTGACTTTCCTTCTGCATACACTCCTACTATAAAATTCACAGTGGAAAAACCTCTGCAAAAATTTTTAGTGCTAGAGGATGTAAGAATTCTGTAGAGATGGTAAAGATATTTAAAGCTCCTTGAAACCCCCAATCGCAAACCCATTACATGGTTATTAGTCCCACAAAAACAAGTTCATTAAAAATATAGAGTGGGACTCAGGTAGTGCATATAGGTTAAAGAGTGTTAATAGATCTGAAGTCAAAATTTTCAGAAAAAACCATGTCAAGCCTTCATTTACAATGGCAGAGTAAAGCAGTGAGTTTGAAAATATCAGTTCTGTATTGAACACATAAAAGTGTGAACACAAGTGCATTCAGTCTGCCATTGGGAAACTTGTATTAGGGTTCTTTCCATATAAAGTAAGATCAGTACTTTGGTTTTAGTGCATGCCATGCATTTAGCCTGAATTAAAATGCTGGGTAGTTGAACTACCAGAGTTCTAATTAATCAAGAAACCTGGTCAGGCAAAGGTGTCCAAAATCAGATGCTGCTTATCATCTCTTCTGTGCAACACAATGCAAAACATAAAAAAGTGGAAGCACCAATTAAATTTCTTCTGCATGAGTTGTTTTGGCCTTAATAAATCTTCTAATGTACATATCTTCCTGATGTTATGGAGCACGAACTGGGAAGACTAAAGAAGCTACAGAAAGAACAAGAGAGAAGCAACATTTAGCTTGCAATTTAACCCAAATGACAGCCAAGCGTAAATGCATGAAAGCACATTCTAAAAACTGGAGGCAACACAAAGTTTCTGCTTATTTCAGCTCATGGAATCCTGAATATCCAGAACTTCAAGCATCTTGTTTTTTAAAAGAAGGGCATTTAAAACCTGTGGTTGAAAACGTTTTGGGGGTGGGGGGTCACCACCATTTTATTACAGAAGGCAAAAAGAATATGGAGTAAAAGGACCTAGGCAGAAACCAAGGAAGCTGCATTCTTCATCACGCTCAGCATTTAATAATAATTGCTAGAGCCTAGTTTCACACAAAAGCCTGCATATAAAGACTTTGCATGCTTGCTTTAAATGTTTACAGACTGAAGGAAAACTGGTACATTGTTCTAATTGCTCTAGGGGCAGTCTTTTCAGAATTTATAACCAAGACTGTTTTCAGATGGGCTCTTTGGCTTTTCTTGCATTTCAGACAGGCAGGCTATTTAAACTGCTGATGATTCTGACAGCGAATGGTTTATTTTTAAATCTCAGACATCTTAAAGAGCAAGTGATGCCATCCCCCACCCCCCTTTTTTGGAAGGTTTGATCCATTTTTGTGAAAACACTTTTTTTTGTTATATGTTGTATTTCTGAGCTATGAGAGGATGCTACCTGAACTGCTTGTAGCACTTTGTAATGAACTACTTTATTTTCCTACCCATTTTTATGTTTTTTAAATAAAGGAACCAGTTTGTACTGGTGCAGCCCTCCCAGGAGGCAGGGGCTGGGATTCAGCAGGGCAGATCACAGCAAGGTTGCAGAGAGTAACAAGGGTCCAGTCCAAAAGTCAGGGGTTCCAGAGAGCAGGTATGCCAAGTCCAGTCTAGGGTCAATGGATTCAGGCAAGTCCAGTCCAGGGTCAGGGATTCCAGAAAAGCCAGTAGTCAGGTCCAGTCCAAGGGTCAAGGTTCCAATGGTCTGGTAACAGCAAGGTGGTTCAGTAGCAATGTGTACTTGTTGCATCCATGAAACTAACAAGCTACATGCCCAGCCAATTCCTTGGCATTCATCCCAAAACTACTCATCCATCTCATCAGTTGACAGCTGATGACGGACCATGAGTCTCACACTCCTCCTCCTTTCCTGCAACTCTGTGCACCTCTGACGGCTTTGGCACAGCAGGGGTGTGGGTGAGCTAGGTGGGCTGGGAGCATCTTCTGAAGCCTTGTTTATTGCTTCAGAGCTACAAGGCATTGGCTCAGTTTTAGCTGTAGGCTGTGACTTCTGATCTCTTGTTGCTCTCCTTCTGGCTCAGAGTCAGCTGCAGCTGGTTGTTCAATTACTGGCTGAGGTCTAGCTGCAGGTAGCTCTTCGTCTGCAGAATCTGTGCTGTCACTGAGCACAGACTGACTTACAACAGTTTTTCAGTATAATGTAGCATAAAACGGGGAGAGAAGCATAAAAAAGGCAGGTGCAGCAGGAAAGCAGGAATACACAGCACCATCTGAAATTCAAAATTTGATCAATATGTACCTTACATACAGTTTAAAGAGCCCATCTGAAACAGCCTCACTTTTACAACGTTTTGAACTGAACCTCATTCAAAACAGAATAATGTCTTCATGTGGAAGTGCCCTGGCTCTTGGGCATTTTCCCTTTCCTCATAGCAATTATCTACCTCTTAAGGGGGTTTAAGTCATGTAAAATTCACTCCAGTATCCAAACATCAGTGGAGTAGACCTGTGAGTGCAATATTTTAGAAGCAATGAACCTGAACTGAACTCAGACCCTGAATGGTTTAACTCCCTGAGTTCAAGAGATTATATATCAGAAGGGTAGTATATATCACAGCAACCGATAGCATACTGTATGTCTACATCATGTTTTAACTTGATTCAGGCAACTTATTCTATGACTTTGCATCTTAGTGTGGACAGCAGTACTGAGTCTTGACTTTTAATTTTAAAAGGAAGATGTTATAGAACTACATATTCTGTTTTATAATACGTATTTTATTAGGAATATATTTACCTGATTACCTAGCCATTTTCATTTACTACCAATACAGTCGTTAGACCAAAGAGATATTGTTGCTTTTCTCAGAAACTGAACACTGCAGCCACAGTGATCTTTATATAATCAATACTACATATTCACATGGATACATCAGATGTATTCATTAAACCAATGAATTCATTAAACACATCTGATCTTCATACAGGCCATGTGCTGTCCATAATTCCCACCCCTACATCATAGCTCTGCCAGCTATATAATTCAAGTCATAAGGTCAGCACAACATTCCTCCACACCACTCTGTACCTTTGGAGTGGGACAGGGACTTACCTCGAACCCCTCATTTGTTGCTGAAGGGCTGGACTGCAACCCAAATAAGTCCCTGTATAGTCATACTCTCCATGACCTCTGTGCAATCCTATGCAGTTATTTCAGTTTAAACTAATTGATTTCATTGGGTTAGAGTAACTCTTCATGGGACTGCACTGTTAACATGGCAAATTGCTGCTTCTGGTGTGGCTCCTCTTTTGGAATTCAATGCATATCAAGACTTCAATGTTTTGCAGTGGCAGTTCTACTGTTAGCCTAATTATATATCTAATTTAGCCTAATTACACACCTATTACATAAGCAAAATTCTATCTGCTGCTGGGTTTGTATTAAATGTGGGAATAAGTTCTGATTACACTAGACTTAGAGCTCCCACAGCATTTACCCATCACTAAGCATTGTATTAGCTAGGTCATTTTTTACTTTCAGCTCCTCTTAATATAAAATCCACTGTAATATGCATAGATCACCATGCAAGAATACTCAATTGCCCTGCCCAAGCATCTGGAAACGTTTACTATTCTACCTACCTTGAAAAGATCTCCTTAGGTTCCCTGCTGGAGTTTTTAATGTCATCAGTGCCTACTGTATTAACAAGATGGATCAGAGTTGTTCTTGAGAAGCCAAGGAGTTGTGACTTAAAGAACAATTCACATTCCCTGCCCCTTCACTGTTACAAATAAAATCAAGTATTCAATCAAGTCTTAAGTACCCAAATCTAACCTCTCTGCCCAGAAATGAAGGCCCGCCCCTGTCTTTAAAAGGGAGACTGGACATCCAACCATGTGCCACAATACTGGGGCACTCTATGAATGGTGGGATGTAGTTGGAGCACTGCAACAAAGCCTTAGAACCTCAATGCTTTATGTATGTGACAAACCAAGTCAACTATTTTTAAGCTAGGACAAATCCTAGTTCCAGGTATTTTTGTAAGTAAAATGACTTAGACTAATTTACATCAGTGAGACAATGGGTTCAACTCAGGCACATGAGTGGCTCACAACTGTACATGTAAATATTGGAACTGAAAGCATTTTTTTCAACATAACGGAGAACTGATATTCAACAGTGAAGGAAGCATGTGTCCAAAGTAAAACACCACAGAACTCAAAGTAAAATGTAACATTTAATAATAATACAAAGGAAACTGAAAAAACTGAAAGCTTTTAAAAAACTTGTAAAACAAAAATTAGAACAACATGTTAATATTTCATGGAAGCAGCTTCATAATTTTCCCCCACTGTCTCTCAGTGACATTGTGTGGTCGGTCTTCCAGGTGGAATCCTCTACTGTGTTTTCGTTAGCAAATAAACTGCTGTCTCAAATGCATAAGCTTTGAAAAACAGGAAAACATGTAGTAGTGAAGCTTCCATGAAAAACTGCATTTTTCCATTAGTCCAATTAGTTATAGGACGGGCGGGGGGGGGGGGGGGGATGAGTCAAATAGTTTTATGTTTCCTGTTTTCCTCGCCTAACATAAGAGGTGAATTTAATTTAAGATTAATCTCACATTATAACCACCAGTAACTCATTAAATAAGAAACAAATGTATAGAATTATAATATGCATGAACAGCTGCGTTTGGTCTCATACAAAAATATGACATTAAGTACTACTAAAGAGAATCCCAGGCAAGAAAAAAAGTGTGTGATTTCTGTTGAGGACGACTTTTACAAAACGATAGCAAAGGTGAGGTCACTAATTTTTAAAAAGGGACAAAATAGTTAGCACAGTGTATGTATATGTATCTATATATATATACATACATATTTTACACACAATTAATGTATTGTTACATACATTCTGAATGTCTTCATCAGAAATATATGGAAAATATTGCCATTATAGCCATATGTTTAAAAATCTTTTCATTATTACTACTGGATTTTCACACACTTCTAAAAAGGCAGGAAGAAAGAAACTGAGCTCTCAGAAGCCAATCAGAAAGAAAAGATTTGCATAGAGACTCTTATTGGTTACAGCACTTGCTAGAACAGATGCATTAGTTTGCATTATCTTCTCAAACTTTTGACCTGCTCTGAAGTTTCGTGTAATCAGTCTTCAGGCTTTTACAAAACCTTTCATCTGACAAAGGAAAACATGATTGACTTTGCAACTTTAGCCAACTTTACTTTGCCAGGATTGTCATCTTGTACATGATGTGTCATATTTGTCCATTTAGACAATAACTCCTTCTCCTAATATTTTGTATCCATCAGGAAATAATATATATATACATATATGTATTTAGCTTAACAGAGGCACAGCCTTTTTTAAAAAAAATCAGATTATAACAAACGCCTAAAAAGTGTAAATATCTACACCACCATTTCTTAGATGGCTTGCCATTTAAAGTACCTGTATAATTTTATGAGGTTTTCCCCCTTACAAATATCAAGTAAAACTGTAACATGATTTTTAATCTATGACAGACAATTGCCTTTTACATGGGGGAGAAAAAACCCCCAAGACAACATTTCATCTTTTGAGCACTTCTAACGGGCTTCTGCAAGAGAATGTGCAACATGAGAAATCTCTGCCCGGTTAAATGCTACTTCTGGGCAGGGAAGGAAAGTGCCTCTCACCATTTCAAAAATTAAATACAGGCTATAACACAGCATTAAAAAGGATTTTACGTGGGA